TGTGTGTGTGTGTGTGTGTGTGTGTGTGTGTGTGGTAGCCCACAACTCTACAGACCTGCATCCTTCCGATCATCTCCCTAATACAATTACTCCGCCACAATGCAATCGTTGTCATTAGTACCTCCCTTTTTCACTCCATCTTCCCAACCTGAGTGGGCCCACCAGTACCTCCCTTTTTCACTCCATCTTCCCAACCTGAGTGGGCCCACCCCCGTCAGTTCGCAACTCTAGAGATGGAATCAATCCTCTTCCCCTATCCCATGTTTCCCCCACCCCCAAAAGGGTGACGGCCTTGCGGTATCATCACCCAGCTGACCGTCCCTAGGTTATTCAGAGTTATAACTTTACTCATCTCAGTGCATCAGGATTCAAACTCGCAATCTATTCATCAACAGCTCATGTGTGTACCATTCACCCACATGAGCTGGGTCCCGAGTGTCCTCTTCCCTTGATCATTTGTACAGACTCCGGAGTTACAGATACCAGTGATATGCATTGTCTTCCAACCTTAGCTACTTCTCCACCATTTTTATTTTTATTTTTATTTTTTTTTTAGACAAAAAACAACCCGAGAGGATGCGAGGGTCGCTGATAAGAGCAGGCATCCATCTATTGGTGGGGAGCGGCACCTGCTGGAAATCGAGTCCAGCGCCACTGAACATTCATTGTAGATGCTGATTGCTCAGTCCGATGGATGTGATGACAACCTACTTCTCCACCCTTCTTAGCCAGTCCACAACTCCTTTTTTTTTTTTCTTTTTTTTTTTTAACGGGGAAAGCACAGGTCAGAATGCGGACCATCTCCCCTTCTGCCGTTCACTACTTCAGCTCCTCAAGATTTCATACCTCTTCTCCTTTCCAGAAACAGAAACAAAACCTGCACTTCCCAGTGGCGGGCATCTTCTAGTCCTGACGAACGGCAATCGGGTGGGCTTCCCAGTCCTGGACATTTTCTGGCCCTGAGGACCGACAATCAGGAACAGCAACGTACACCATCCGCACACACAGCGCAGCAATCTCAAGAAAACAATATCCCATGTTCACATTTGCAGACATGCCTCCATTTCGCACGGTACAGATCGAGAACCGTGACCAATTCCGACATTCAAACAATAATTTAATTATAAATTTTATAATTACTAATTCGCACCACCCACCTTCTTCCCTACCAGACGATCGCAAGACGCATGTGTACAGCTAAACCACGACTACGTTCGAGCCTTCTTTTTTTGCCAGGATGGAGGACTCGGACTGTGCGCCAAAGCCGCCAAGCTTTTGGCCGAGGCGCGACCGAGGCGTTTTTTTTTTTTTTTTTTTTTTTTTTTTTTGATGAAGAAAGGGTGCGCTTGAGATATCATCTCCCAACTGAATGGCCCTGGGTATATTCAGATTTATTTACTCATCTGAATTGATAGGGATTCAAACTTCGGTCTGTATTTCAACAGCTAAATTAAATGGGTGTACCAACCGAGCTAGGCCCGTTGGCTGGTGCCACCAGCCTGTTTGGTCCGGTAGTGCCCGACCTCTGCCAGCCGACGAAGAATGCGGAATAAGATTATATGTACGACTTCGCCTTCCAGCCTGAAAGGTAGTCTCGCGGTTTCAAGAAAACCACCCCCAGCACACTGCGCCACCCATCGAGCCACTGCCAAAGTTACACAGAAGAGCGCTGTCATGCATGGGGCCATAACTTCTCATCGGCCTGCTCGAAGCGCTGCACATTCTTCTCGCCGCACTGCTGCAACATGGTTTAAACTTTAAAAAGAAAACCACTCCCGACACACTGCGCCACCCATCGAGTCACTGCCAAAGTTACGCAGAAGAGCGCTGTCATGCATGCTCATCTCTTCTCGTCGGACTCTGCTCAAAGCGCTGCACCCTCGTCGAGGCGCACTGCTGCACCTTCCTGATCTCTCTTGCCTTCACCCTCACCTCCCTCTTTTGACCGACACCGTGCAATTATAGTGCATGTAGCCATTCGACTCATTCGAGTAGTCAATGCACTGCACAGTGCACACGCAAACAAACTTTTTTTTTTTTTTTTCCCTCCCTGTACGAAGCTCTCAACTGCCACATGGTGACTGCCACACGGCGAGCCTCTGATGATGACTGGCAGTCTGCAGGTGCCACCATCCTTGTGGCTGAGCTAGGCCCATTGGCTGGTGCCACCATGCCACCATCCTTTTGGCTGAGCACAGGTGGAACTGCCCGGCACACCAAAGGCGCTGAGCATGAGAACCGTGTCAGTCTGCACAGCATTTTTCTCTCTTCTGGTTGGTAATCAGCACAAGTCGTCATCTTCAAGGGTCTTCTCTCCTGCTAACTAACCTCTGCTTCGCTGAGGTACTCGCACCGTCGTTCCAAGTTGTCATCACCTTCGACCATGTTCTCCTGCCCTCACTTGCGGAAAGATGCTGTGAAGTAAAATGACAGTCTGCAGTGTTTCTTTTTGGCCCCTTTCTTCAGGTAGGTTGACTTGACACGTCATCATCGCAAGTCGGCGGCATCCTCAACCGTGTTTCTCCCGCTCTCTGCTTTCAAGCACCAGAGTCGTCATGGCACGGAAGGCACAGGGCACCGGAATTGCAGTCTGCTCAGACTCTGCTGAGCATATAGCCATTGTGTGAACCCCACCATCTTCAGGCATCTTCTCCTGCGATCTGTTTCCATGCCATGATGCAAAAAGGCTGGGAGATTTCACAGAACGAGCAGCAGTGTGCATGGAAAAAAAATGACAATCTGCACAGCAGGTTCCTGCTCCTCCTAGTACACTCGCTCATCAGTGGGACCATTCTGTCGTCTCTTCTACTGTCTTCGCGTGCTCTGTGCTTTTCTTCAGCTGCTGAGCCTCCATCATTCGGTGGGGAGGTAGCGCCACCTGCTGACAAACGGGGCCAGTCTCCCCTTGTACTCTGCGCCCTTCAGCGTCGTGTACGCAACGAGGACTTATGCAGTCAGGGCCAACCCCTTGTCATATCACACAGCAGACTAGGCCAACCATGCAAACCATTTGTTGGGAATCTTGCACCTGAAATGCATTCCCAAACTTGAGAGAAAAAGCAGGAAAAGGAAAACGAGAAGAGAAGAGAAATGAAAGAGAGATAGCAAGTCGTGATAGATGGCAGTACGCAGTGCGAAAGATCTCTGCGACAAACGCTCATCAACAAATCAGGCCAATCACTGAGCCCCTTCAGTGCCAGCGTACACACAAGTGTTGTGGCGAGAACTCGCCTCACCAGCAACCCTACTACAGGACATTTGAGCAGAGCATAAGTCACCAATCCCTTCGGTTCATGCACAAAAATTACGCAGCGATTCAAACTGATCACAACAGATACTACACTTGTTCTTAGAAAAGGCCGAGAAAATGTGAAAAAAATACACAGTGATTCTACCAGTGCACGTTTCTAGGAAAATGACCAGACTGCATGATCCTGCTGACCGAGCATAACGCCTCCTCCCTCGATCGCACCGGTGATGCTTTCATTGCATGCGTCTACGGGAAAATCACTCCCGATCCCTCGAACATGCATCCAGCACAGAAATACCCTCCAGCATATAACAGCTGTTGTTGGCGCAACACCAGCCTCCGGACAAAAAAAAAAAAAAAAAAAAAAAAAAAACAAACAAACAAACAAACAAACAAACAAACACTGTTAGGTCAACAACAACTCGCCTCTCTGGTCCGGCAACACACTGTACATGATCTTAAGCAGTCAGTACATGGCCCCCGGCACATTGAGTAAAGTTTAGTAATCGAATGGCTCGCTCCGATAAAAAAAAAAATGGTCAGCTCAGGGCTACCAAAAACCACAATGGCTGGCAGTGCCAGCCAAAAAAGGAAAAAAAAAGTGTGCCGCTAGGGATCCGGCAAAGCTTGCCGCACAGTGCCGCGCAGTGCAACTCCGCCAGGCTTGGGTTTGAAGTGGTCCTTCAAGCAGCACACGTCATGCATCTAGGAAACCGTTATTATTCAGTAATTCCTTTATTGTACGCATCTACCGATAAATTTGCTTGCCTATCTATCCCTTCTGAATCAGCAATTCATTCATGTGTCGAGAGAAGAATTACCTGCATGCAGCAGACGACAAGTGCTGCCGCAACAACTTGCCTTTCCGAAGGCACAACATGATCATCTTGAGCAGCATAGCTCACCCAATTGCTTCAGTATATGAATAAGGAAACAGTGCGTCCAGCGAACAACTGTACCTACGACCGCATGCAAGTGTTGCGATCGCGACCTCCCATCCACATTCATCATCCACCCCATCCCTAATATGGGAGCCACGTGCAGAATGTTGCAATTATCTGCCAAAACGAATGACTGCGTCCTTGTCTGATTACCGGGTTGTCGCAGACGCGGACGTAAATCTGCCGACCTGCGCGTTCCATTCCGTACGACGGCAACAACACCATTCCACCACGCGGAAACAGTACTCGCTCTCAAAAAGAGTCAGAAAGACTCAGAACATAATTTTGTTCACAAATCCAATCTCCCAAACTCTGCCGTTTTCCGCAAAAAGGTTCATTTCTCTGTGAAACATGAGAAAGCCAAGATCGTACAACGAGTTGATCCAGACTGAGAAGAATTGCCACTCAGGGGTAGGACCAAGTGGTGCCGGGATGTAAAACCCCGTTTGGAAGCAGTTCGATAGGACGGACAAATTGACTTCAACGAGGAGCATGTGAACCTGTTTCCACAAGTCGGCTTCCGCGCGGAAGTCGATGAATAGCTCAGATCCCCGCATATCTATCTTAACGATCTGCGGAACTGCTGTACCGGCATGCTCCACAATCCAACGGAGGGTACCGCCCGTAACTGCAGTCACGGATTTGAGAAGGAATTGTGAAGCGAGGGTGGAGCTGGCCTCGTAAAGTGCCCAAGGGTGAAACTGCGTCCTTCGGGGCAATGACGTTCCGTTCAGTGCGCACACGACCGTATCGAGGGCGCTCGTGGCATCGGCCTCCGTTGGAGTACTTTGAAGGTATTGCACAACTTCCGGCGTCGGATCAAAAATATGTATCTCGCAATTCGTGAGGCGGGCAACGTCACGCTCCCACCGAACGTGCCCGTTGGATCCGAAAGAGTAGACAACACAACCTGGGTCTACATAGTCGCGAACACGGCACATCCACTTTCCTCCGTCTCCGTACGGCCCCACCCTCTCCTCGAATGGGCAATGATAAAGGGGCTCCCATGTCTCCAAAACATGTGGCTGCAGGGCAGCAGCCGCTCCGGCCGGGTTCCGTGGGTCGCCTTGCATGAGGAACCGTTGGCGATCCACATTGTCCGCGAAGATCCTGTCGGCGATGCCCGGGTCATCGTAAGCGGAAGTGTGGTTATCTCGTTCCGGCTGGGGAAAGGGACTCTTTCGTATGCATATGAAGACTGAGGGGTCTTTGGGAAAGTGAAGGGTTAGCGGAGGAGGCAGCTCACTTGTTGGCTCCTGGGATTTGTACTCTCCCACTTGGGATGCAGAAAACCAGTCATACACGAACCAGACGAACACTGTATATGCGAAGCCCATGAGCACTGCAAACGTCCATGAGTGCAGCCTTGAACTGATGAGCGGATCCATGGAAATGCGCACCAACTTAAGACTACCCCCACCTCCTTCTCCAACGATTTTTTCAGATCAAACAAACACGCCAATAGACGAACTAATCCCGATTCCCGCCACTTATGAAACAAGCGAAGCGCTAAACTCTCTTCAAAGTTAATCCGAAGGAAAAAGTGATCGCTTCTGCTTCTGCCGGCAGGGTCCTTCCGGGTGTCTAGAAGTTTGCCACACACATTCAAGACTTCAACTACTTCATCTATATGTTATGAACGTATTCGGAATATAATTCCGGTACAAAAAAAAAGAATTAGCGAACATCGCAAACCTACTAAAGCTCATTGTCTTGAAGAGAAATCCAACACCCTCTCACTCAACACACCCCGACTGTCATTAAAAGCGGAAAAAAAGAGAAGCTAACCACCGACCTCTCGCATTGTCGGCGAGAACGCGCTGACGTGTCGTGCCCCCGAGCCCACTTACAGTGACTTACCACCCTTTCCACTATGATCCTTGGAAGAGCCTTCGGGCATCCTTCCTTTGGAGAACCTTCCACTGTGGCCTCCTTCAGGGGGCAACAATCGTAGGTGGAAGAGCCTTCGAACATCCTTCGTCGAACATTCGGGGAACTTCAGAAAATATTACGGTGGGAACTTGAACTGCTGCGGCCTCCTTCAGGAGGTAACTAACTGCCCCCCCTTGGAGGAAGAGCCTTCGGACATACTTTGGTGAGTCGGCTGACCGATGAAGAAACTCCGGAAAATACTCGTGGAACTCGAACAACAACGACTGCGGCCTCCTTCCTCAGGGTAAAACTATCCCTGGCAGAGCCTTCCGGGTACATCCCTCGGTGAAAATTATTCTTATTATTATTATAATTATAATAATAATTATATTATTATGATTTTATTATTATTATTTAAAGCAATCGGTGAACCTTTCAACTTAAGGGGGGAATGTTCGGCAAACTCGAACCAGTCCAGCCTTTGGACATCCTCCTTCGATGAATGAGCGAGTGGTGAAAAAATACGGCGAACACTCCCGAGTCCCGACCTTCCACGAACTCCAACCACTGCAGCCTCTGCCCAGGGGGGCAATCAACCCAACAACCTCAAGACAGCAGAGTCAGCAGACCACTAGCTCAGCACGGCTCCCTGTACGCGTTCTCGGCCGGTGAAAATATGGTGAACAGTTGGTGCTGAACCTTCAATCGACGCAGCAACCTCGAAACGGGCAGACTGTTAGCTGAGAAGAGTTCCCCGTGAGATGTTGTCAGTCAACGGAGCTCTCTTCATGCTCTTTCTCGCAGAAACGTTTATGAAATAAGACGGCACCATTTGCGGCCTTCTTTCAGGGGCAATCAACAAAGCAGACCGTTAGCTCAGTAGAGCTGCCCGTGTGTGTGTTCTCTGTGTGGTCTTTTTTTTTTCTCGCAGAAACGCTTTCGGAAACGGACGCAGCTGCGACGTCAATTGGCCATAACAAAAAATCATCCCAGCGCTTCAGTCAAGCCTGCAGCAAAACGAAATGCGACAACGCCCATGGCGGCAAGCCAAGGCAAGGTAATGATGAGCTCGTTTCGATGCGCAAGACCAAGCATCAGGAAAGCAATAACAGTAACAAGAACTATGTTTTATGTTATATATCGTCAAATAGAACTGCCCGGTAAACCGTAGGCAGAGAGGGAGAAGAGGACAACAAACGAGGGGCTGTGACAAACTGTTTCGTCGGAGTTTCACCGATATTAATAATATTATATATATAATAAATATATTTTATATACTCAAGAAGATGTACATCATTATTTTACAACTTTCATTTTCTTATTCTTGCCAGTAATGGCTAATATTTGCTTAGCATTGTTCGCAACTTGGGGTAGTACCATCTTTTTTTTTTTCTTTTTTTTTTTTCCCTCTCTTCTTAAAACGAGGGGGTAGTACCAACTGATTCTCAACAAGGTGAAAAGTATTGTATCACCTAATATGCAGTATTATGCACATGTGCTGGCAGCTTCGACGAGTTTACTTATTTATATTGGAATGGCCAGAAATTTCAACTTGATTCAAGGAAAAAAGGCACAAATGCCACTTGTCAAGTCGTCATATCAATAGTCCAACAACTGGCAATTGCTTCAAAGAGAACAAAATTGAAAAATCCACCCAAGTGCTTTTCAAGAGTTCAAAAGCTAAAACACAAAGCAGCCTGACGCCGGGTGCTCCAGTCTATTGGTGGCGAGCAGCACCTGCTGGAAAGCGGGCCCAGTGTCGCATATACAATCTGGTTGCCGTGCTGGCCTTCAGGACTGAGCACTGTGGTTGCTATGCAGTTTCGGCTTGGTGTATAGCAAGAATGATCAGGCTGCAAGATTTGCCTCTTCGCCCATCTACCAGGTGCCCGATCAGAGCATCCCTGCTCTGTCCCATGCCTAGCTACCACTCTGCAGCCTCTGTATGTATCTGTCTTAATCCACACTCATCATGTCATGGCAGTTCTGCCAGAGAGAGGGCTGAAGGGGGGAAGGGGTCTGGGAAATCAGAGAAGGGTCGCAGAGGGACAGGGGCATCAATCGTGGTCCAATCGTGAAAGAGAAGGTGGTAATCCCTGATCATCTCTTCCTGGTCCCCTCACCCTGTTCCCCCTTCCATACCACCTCTGCCACCCATCCCCCTTGGTCCCCGCCCCAGCCAGTCTTTGCAGAAATGCTGTATAGTTGATTTGATTTCTGTCTTAGAATGGAGAGAGGTAAGTTTGTCCTTGGTCCCACTGAGTTGTGACTTCCACTAGTACTTGCAGTCTGATGGATTTTGTGAACTTGGCCCCTTCTCGTCGCACCCCTTCCATTTGGTAGGTGCAACGCCGCCACCAGAGGGCCCACAGGATGGCTCTGCGGCCAATTTTAATTTTTAATGTTTAAACGTATTCCGGGTAAAGTCCATGGCTTGTTCCGGTGTCGACCGGGGAAAACGATCTGCCAGCACATGAAAATAGCCCTAAGTTCCGCCTCGTGTCTGTCACCCACGAAAGGGCCATTTCCCCGCTCTCGTAACCTGCACAAGATTTTCGTAAATATTATCAACCCGCACGTCAAGCACAGACGAGCAACCTTAAGAGCTCAACAAACGCAAAGGGAGTAGTATTCAATCTATAATGATAATTTCGGGACTATCTGAGGAAGTTCCACGACTCCTAACTCCGGGTACATCCGGCGTCGCAGTCAGCGTCCTACTGCTCCTAAAAGAAGACCTGACCCAAGCCCTCCGTCCTATGGGACTTCCGTCGCCTGTGGTAGCGTATTTGTCGGTCCCAGTGTACGGCACTGGTACTCTCGGAATTGACGCATCGTCCCTGGCCCACTGCGGCCAGGATTCAAGCTCAAGCCTTACCACGTACCAGTAAGGGCAAAATCCAGTTTCACAAACGATTGAATGAAGGTGATGAAAATAAGTCTTGCAGCAAAGGAAGAAAGACTCAAGGCTTGATCGAAACCAAGTCCCGTGAATGCTTCTTCGCCGCGCTAACACCTGATCCACCGGATTATCCCAACAGGTCCAACATAAGCCCCAGTCCCGACAGTTTTAATTCTGGTCCGCTCTCAATTCGGTAGGCCCAGGCCCTGCGGGATTGGCCATTAGACGATCCTCAGCTCCGTTGCCGAGTCCACTCTGAGCCTCTGCTCAGTCTGCCACCTCGCTGTTTGAGTCCGCTGAGATCTTGTGAAAAAACTGTGGCTTGCTGAATGCAGCAGAGATTACTTTGAAGTTTGAACCTGCAATCCGCGGTCGTCGGTCACTGAAAAGAACTTTTGTCTTCCAAGACTCACTGTCAATTGAGAGTGCAGGTAGATTTAATACTGTTGCGACTGGTGTCCGCCAAACCCGCGACTTTTCGGGTCCGCTATTTGCAGAGAGTAACTGGCCTTTGGGCTTTTTCTGAGACTCAATACTTTTGTCTTCTTCTGTTTTTTTCAATTGGTGTTCCATGTTCGAGAGTTTAATTCCTTTTTTTTTTTTTTTTTTTTTTTTTTTTTTTTTTTTTTTTTTTTTTTTTTTTTTTTTTTTTGAGAGAGAGAGAGAGAGAGAGAGAGAGAGAGAGAGAGAGAGAGAGTTTAATTCCTGCTTGCTGTGTATGCAACTTTCTTTCGTTTTTCCCGTTTGACCATGAGTCTGCTACTCGCGGCTTCGAGTGTACTGAATCTCGTCCAGCAGGGGCCTGCGGATTCCTGATTTGCCGGAGCGTTTGTCTTCGAACCAGCAAGAGTTGCCTAACGTTGGAAAAAACACCGAGTCCAAGCCCGCGTCGCGTCCACTGCTATATCACATTTCCACTAGTATTTACATCCGAATCCGCGACCTGTGTTTACCTTGTGTGAGCAGTCTAAGTCCGAAATGTCTTGTGTCTGCAGTCAGGTACAATGCTCTCGCCCGAAGTCTGCAGAGGGCAGCTATATACACGGAACGGAGAATCCTCAAACTCTCCTGGCTCTGAGGATGCAGATCTCTCCTACCGGACTCTATACAATTGCATTCAGTCCGTTAAGGTCACAATCTCCAGCTCGTCTGAAGCGCTGTTGGTGTCGTCAATTTCGGCCAGGAGTTGATTGAGACTACAGCTCAGGAGTGCCACTTAAAGAGCTCTTCATAGATTGATGTCTATGATGCTCAGAGCCCGACTGTGGTTTACCGTGTCTGACGTCAAGATGGTCCCACACAGCGTACTCACGTTATGCCTAACAGCTTCAGTCTCCCACGCTGGTGGTGCTGTGGCCTCACGGCATATTGTTACTCTGTTGTTGCTGCGATCACACGACTCTCACTGTGTTAACCAGCAATCGCATAGCCCGCCGATTTCATTTCCCATAGCAAACAAATACAGTCATTCGGATCGGCTTAGCATGCCAGGGCTTTATGCGCTCTCACTGCGTAGTAACACAGGGCGAATGGTAATAAAGTTCTTTGATTCATTCTGTTGCACGAAATCCTTCATTGGCGAAGCAACTATTTGGTTATGGTGCGCCGTGCGTAAGAGGACACACGAAGTGCTGCGCCCTCGTCGACATATTCTCTGGGCGTTATAACAACCTGACAATGTTAGAGGGACAGTA